GATTAATTAGTCTCAAAATAATTGATATAACACTATAATTAGTGTAAACCGATAACGTTTACTATTCTACATTTGTAATTGACACTCTTTTTGCCTATTTTAGGTCGTAATGGAAGTACATGTATTGTGATTAATCACACAGGCGATGGATTTTGTTTATGTTCACCAGACCACGCGGGTCCGTATTGTGAATACATTACACCAAGTGCATGCCGAAAAAAATGTCAGAATGAAGGACAATGTGCTGTAATTGATAACAAGTATGGGCGATGTATTTGTCCAAAAGATGTAACTGGTTCCTATTGTGACGCACCTCTACATCCATGTGCTCCAAATCCATGTAAAAACGAGGGAATATGTGTCCACGAAACTACGCCACCGAATCATTATAAATGTATTTGCACGTATGGTTACTCTGGTGAGAATTGTACGGAAAATTTGAATCGTTCCTTTTGTTCATCAAATCCATGTCAAAACAATGGAACGTGTCTTGAAAGTCCAATATCGGGAGATGGTATTTGTAGATGTGACGAAGGATTTGGTGGTGCATTTTGCCAAGAAATGATAACGTGTGGTAATCGGTCGTGTGCTCAGTATCAAGTGTGTCTGGCTGAAACGTGTGCAAATGTCACTGGAGAACTCTATTGTCTGTTACACGAATGTGAACATGGGGGAACGTGCGATCAAGAAACGAGAATTTGTCAATGTCAAGAGGGCTTTGGGGGACCTAGATGTGAATTGAGAAGTAATTTTTGTATACAAAATCCTTGTATGAACAATGGAACTTGTATAGCGGCGACGAGTAAATGTATGTGCAATAGTAAATATACAGGAAAATATTGTGAAAATAAGCGATTTTTAGAAAAGAAAAGAAAACCGTAACCACATTGTCTTCTTTGTTTATCGTTGGTTTTATTATTTTTTTTTTGTCAAAATTTTAGAAGAATATCAGATAAAAATAAGATTCTGTAATAGTTTGTATCAATATTCACGATTTGATGCGACATTTCTGGAGATCTTCACCAAAGAAAAGGTTTTTGATATTCATGACTGCACTATTCTAATCTTATGCATTTTTTTTTGGTGATTGACAGAACAGATGTATCAAAGTACTACAAACTCCCTTCAAATTGGGTAGAGTACGGTGAGATATATTGAATGCATGATTTAAAATTGAGTTTAGGATGTGTGTTTGATGACTCGGCGTCTGTTACAAAAGAAGTTAAAAATAACTTTTTAGAAAGCATCGCTAGAACACAAACATGATTTTCAAATTTTTTCAACTATAACACAAGAAAGTTCTATCATTTTAGCATAGAATCAATTAGAAAATAAGGATTCGCTATTAGCTCTACTGGAAAAAAGCCGTCTTCGTTCTACACTGAGTGTTCACTGTCAAGTCCGTCTCTCGGCCTCGTTTCTCATTCATAGAAATTTGATTCCAATCTGCACATTGAGCAATCTGATTTTATTTTTTTTATTATATGCTTTAATGGGAAAAAGTGTGTTTTGATCACTAGAAAAGTGACTTATGATCACCAAATCAATTAACGCAAATTTAAATTAAAGAAAATATATACAAGAAGAATATATAGCAATTTAAGATTACTCTCGTTTCGTCCCATATTTATTAATTAGCTCTCGTTTTGCAGCACGTTTTGGTTCAACAACAATATTATACTTATTATTACATAAATGTTGTTGTATTAAATGGTGTCATGAAAGCATATGATAGTTCAATTTATTGCCCAGGAAATAATGTAACGGTCAAACTATCAGACCCTTGCCATTGTTTCATTCAGAAGTATTGTTTCTTTGCAAAAGCTTTTCCGTTAAACAGTTAAACTCTATCATGGAGTATACAACATGACTTCGTTAAAATTAAATTGTTATTGATCCAGGTTTAGAAAAACAAACTAGTCCATATTGATACGTATCAACGTATCAATATGCCATGTATCAATTTCTTACGTTATCTTAATTAATTATATTAATATTAATTAGTACACAGTTGACAGAAAAAAATGAATAGTTATAAAATGAGTAGAATGATAAAAAATAAACGGGACGAAACGAGAGGGAACGAAATGACACGGAACGAAACGAGAGTATACCGCAGTTTAATTGCAAGTTAATTAGTGGACAATATATATACAGGAAGAACATACATAGAAAAAACTAATCACCAAACCAATTAAAGAAAAACTATACAAGAAAAAACTAACTTTATGGCAACAAGGCTGTACGAACCTTTTTCGGATAACTTTTACCTTTTCACATACCCAAACAATCGTGAACCATTGGGTAAGAGAAAACGTAAAGGTCGTCCGAAAAAAGGTTCATACAGCCTTGTTGCCATAAAGTTAGTTTTTTCTTGTATAGTTTTTCTTTAGTTTAAATTTGGGTTAATTGATTTGGTGATCAAAAGTCACTTTTTTGGTGATAAAAAAATTGATCCCCTGCTTTAATTATTAATTGACCTATAATTAGTCTTACAAAACAAATGTCATTTCAAAACTCCATCATTTTTCTCTGAAGGATAATTAACCTTGAAAACAGTCAGGTGACAGTACAATAAATACCAAGATGAAACGAGTCTTACAAGATCTGATAGAACCTTGTGATAAAACCAATCAAGATTTCCTAAGATCTTTTAAAATTTGTTGACATCTTATTACAAGATTTTGCAAGAAGTGATGATTCATCGTAATAAAAGATTTTCCTACGATATATAGTAAGGTGCCGGAAATGCAAAAATAGAGTAGAAATTTTGATTTGATATGTTCGAATCATATATGGTTGGATAGAGTTCGAAGAAGAGATTCCGCATGTGTCCTTTTTATACATTTTAAACAAAGTTTTGGGTGAGAAATCTTCAAAAAATAAGTTATCCCTCAAAAAAAGTATTCAAGTGTATATGATCACTGTCCTCTTCCTCAGCTAGCTCGACTAGAGGCAGAGTGACGCTCTCTTCTCGCAGACCTATGTAGCCTTTTGTTTGAAAATTTCTTTCCAATATTCACCCATCGATTGTCAACAAAAGTATGCGTGGCGTTTGTAAAATTTTGTTTCCTCGCTGAGAAAAGTCGACTTTACTGGGAAAAATCAGAATGCTCTCCCTACTTCGCAATTTTCTCCATCAGAACTTAACTTTTAGGTAATAAAAATATCATATTCGGAATCAGCATCAAAAATCGAGTCGAATGATAGATATTCAAAAGTTTTCGTTGATTTTCATGTTTTGATGAAATTCCAAGTGGAGTTACATACCTAAAATAGGCAAAAAGAGCGTCAATTATGAATTTTTTGAAATTCGATATGATTACGAAGTTAGATGCAATTTTTTAATATATATTAATTATTTACTTTTTTTCCGTACTATTTCTTTATTTATTCCAAACGTTTCGATTGATAGTTTAATCTTATCCACTGAAGAAGATTGAACTATCAATCGAAACGCTTGGAATCAATTATGAAGGTAGAATAGTAAACGTTATCAGTTTACACTGATCATAGCGTTGTATCAATTATTTTCAGACTAACTAATG